TTAAATATTTTTTATTCAAAATATTGATTATTATTTTTTTACTCTTTTGATAAAATTATGTATCAATATTTTTTACTTCATACGAAAATATGCAGCGCTAGCAATGTACTACAGTTTCGTGTATCACAGTCGAGCTCAAGCAACAGAATGTTAACTAAAGGCAAGGACCTCAATATTTATACCAAAAGAACTTAGAGAACAGTAAAAATCGTATGAAATTGCACAAGTATCACACTCTGGCCGTTTTCGAAAGAGCAAGTGTAGATAAACCACAAAAAGGCCACATGAAAAAAATTATAATGTATTGACTCCTCAACACTAAGCTGGCATTTCCGATACATCAAAACTCATTAGAAAATACCAAAAACTAATTACCCTATATCTCACAAGTTTCGCGTGCAAAATCAAAAATCCGATAATTCTAATCACACACCCACCTAACCTCACTTGCTTGCATTATAATGCCATTGCTTCAAATTAATGGCACTTATTCGATGAATGAAGTCAATTTCATTGCGTAAAAAATCTCTAATAATGTTTATAAAATCATCTAATTGAAATTCTAAAATTTATTGCCGAAAATCTTCATCAAGTAAATATTTATTTATGCGAATTTTGGCAGCTTGTGGAAAATTTTAATGTATTTGCGCTAATTACCGTAATACCATATGATTCAGAGTATAGCGCTTATTAAATATTTGTGGAAAAATGGATATCATAAAATATTTACCAAAAGTGAAAAGTCGGTTTGTTGAAAAGTACATTCAGTAGATAAATAATTTCCGAATATTTACTGGCAGACTGGCGTGGTTACTGCGCTTTAGATTGTGGAAAATTAGACCCTATACAAATAAGCAAATAAATAATCGCCGTAAAACAAATGTTATTCCAACAAATCGATATTTTCCAGCAACAAAAGATAAACAAAGGCCTGCGAAATTATATGGTATGCAGAAAATTCGTATTTATTTTTAAATTTTGCTTTACTTTTCAATATTTTATTAATATTTAATATTATTAATTGATTTAGGGAGCAACTCCCACCTTTACTCCCACAATTTCTTGTAGTGATTCGTGTTCTTAAAATTGATAGTCGGTTTATCGCTCGTAAGCAATACACGAAATGTCTGCGTGACTCTCTCCTTCTCTTTCTATTGCACAAAATAATGAATTATGTGATATAAATGAGCTTATTTGAGAGATTTGGACTCAACTTATTCTATGGCATATACACGAAATATGAACCCCAGTATATACATAGATAATAAAATATCATACTCTATGTCTTTACTGAGCTCTCACGAAAACTAAGAGCACACCTAGTGTAAATTTAAAAAAAAAACGTATTTTTCATATATTATATTTTTTCATAGTTCGATACATTATACCTTTAAGTAAACATACTACAGTTTGAAATCGTTATCTCAAATAGGTTTTGAGTTAAAGCCTTTTTAAGTGCAGCCGCCGCTCAGTTCAACTAGCTCCATCGGTTTAAGTGTGTTTAAAAACGTGTTTCTTAAGGGGTTATATGGGTTTAGGGATTTCAAAAAATCGCATTTCTTATTATCTTATTAAATTCTGCATCACCTTTAGAATATTGTCCTAAATTTTCAAGTTGATCCGAGTAATAATTTCAAAGATACTGCTTTGAGGACTTGTGCGCTTGAGGCGAGCTAAACGCGGTTTTCTCGAAGCCGTATTTTTGAAGTCAGTTGGAGAGCTTTTGCGACAACTCCTCAACCGATCATTATGAAATTTTACACAGGTCTTTAAGGTACAATTCTTATAGGCTTGGATGAAAGAGCTTCTTTTTCAATTATAACTATTTGAATATGGATGTTTGTAACCATAAAAAATTTTAGTAAAATATTGTATAATATATTTTTAAATGAGAAAAAAATTGTTAAAAAAGACTGATTTTTACCCGAGGAAACCTACGTATCCACTTAAACGAAATTTGGCCAAATGAAAAATCGAGCTTATCGTTTATGGTAAAATATTGCTTTCAAAAAATAAAAAGTCAAGCCATTGTATAAAACTACAAGTAACAAAAGAATCACCCGTTTTGCAAGAATTGTACAAAGCTGAGCTCACCTGATCGAAATCTGCCGTTTTGGGCACATGAATGTAAATATAATGATTTTTTTTATTAAAGTATTTGTAATAGAAAAGGTTAATGACTTTCAAAGATATTTTCGAAATTTATTGCATATTTATTGTTTCTGCTCACCACTTCTGAGGCGCGTTACCAATAATTTTTCGGTGTTCCCCAGAAAGCGTATTTCCACCCATATAATTTACATAGTTTTAAATCAATCTACTTGTAACAATAAATATACGAAAATAAATATATATAATAAATAGGCGAATGTAAATATATAAAAACATGTACACTTCGGGAATGTTTAGTTTATCTAAACATGAAATAATTTAAAATGAGTTACAATTCTATTGTATTCATTAACAAGAAACGTCAAAACAAACTATTTGTATTAATTTAAACAAAAACAGAATTAAGTATAAATAAATTCAATACAATTCTAGAAATATTCCGGATAAAAATATAAATTTAATGCTTAGGAATAAATGTAATCGAAAGATATTTGAATACATATCTAACAAATATGTAATCCGTACTATACTTTAATAGTAGAATATTTGGGAGCTACCCGTACGAAATGTTACTTTTTTGTTTATGAGTCGATTAAATGTTTAGCATTGGATACTTGTAGTTTTATAACGGATTTTTCAAAAGGAACAAGGATAGAGACAGCAAACGACGCCATATTTTCCCCGCTCTTTTGACATTTGTCTTGAGTATGGTTTGCGATTTCTTCATGAAAAGACATACGATTAAGCAACGAATCGAAATTATTAAAATTTCCTACCGAAATTCGGAGTCAATGGCCTCAACTTGAATAAAAATATCTCTACACCTGGGAATCATAGGTAAATTGCAAATTTTTAAATGCCTATAAAACCTAGACTTTTTACTATCAAAAAAACAGCTATTCAAATTTAAAATTGGTACAATTTGGTACAAATTAAAAAAAAAATGAATCAAAAAAAATCAAAAAAACAGCTATTCAAATTTAAAATTGGTACAATTTGGTACAAATTAAAAAAAAAAGCTAACACAATTTCAGATGTTCGAAAAAAATACTTCATTCAAGTCTATAAGAATTGTATCTCAAAGACCTGTGTAAAACTTCATGAAGATTGTTTGAGTAGTTTTGGAAAACTATTGCCAACCAACTTTAAATTTGAGAAAAATGCGTTTAAACCCGGCAAGACTTAACCAGTTCTCAAGCACGAGAACATTTTGGCGTATTTTTTTTTTTACAACTTTCGATCTGGTTTAACTCAAGAGTGCATAAATAAACTTGACAAGGAAACTCCATGAAGAACCAGTATTTATCGATGGTGTGTTAAATTCAATCGAGGTCGTAGATCACACCAAGACGAATTTCGTGAAGTTCATACAAAATCAGTTGTTCCTGTGAGCAAGCTGACGATCTTGATCGTTCAAAAAAAGACTCGATTGGTCGAGAGAAATGTTACAAAATAAGATAGCGATGCTTTGCAACCGCTATATAACATCGTGACAGGTGATTAATCGTGACTTTACGCATACAATAGTTCGTGCACGATTGCCTGTTTTTTGGAAAAACTGGGCATGTCGGAAGCATGCCACTAGAACTACACAGAACAGTAAGTTCTGGGTGGTATACAAGCACTTTTTCGACAGTTGTCCTTCAAGGAATGAGGAAAACCAACCGCCGAACACGGGTCACTCTTCAGCAAGACCTCTCATGCAACCTCTCACACATATCGATTGATGAGCATTTGTGAGCACTCAAAACATCGGTTTGATGTTAACCGTACAGTCCTGACTTGGCATCGTATGACTTTTTTATAAACTATGAAGATATTTAATAAAAAAAGGTAAAAAGTCATACGCTCTATTTTGTTGTTATTAATGTTTTGCGAGATTTAATGAGAGAAAATCATAAACAATCCATCTTTGAAATCTATTCTAAGAGAACAAGTGTTGCTTTAGCATTTGCTTGGAAACAACCAAAGCTAATATTATAACTAAAAGTGGTGTCTGAGCTTCAAAAATGTAATAAAGTTAATAATTTACACACAGGTCATTGTATACATAAATAAAAATAGTTTAGTTCCCTTTTTATACTTTTTGGTAATCTAAATATTTGAAAACATTGCAATCGTTTGTATATAACCAATAAATCCGATTTATGGCCGCAATTGCGGTTTATGGCGAAATATAAACAGAAATTTCAGAAATCATTAAATACGAAAGTGGTTTGTAAACAAAAAGCTGGAAAAACTTAAGTATATACAAGCAGCATACAACATATTAGCACATTTACAAAAACTCTGCCTAAATATAAATGAAATCGCTAAATTCCACAGGAATACACGTTTTTTCCTAATTAAAAACGTTTTCTTTAAGTATTTTGTAGACCAAAAGTGATAAAAACAAATCACTAAAAAATAAAAACAATTTTCAAAAAAAAAAACTAAATCGCTTGGTTGATAAACAACAGTAAAAATAAAAATCTTTCTGGGATATTAAAAGTTAAGAACAGACATCAAGGCGTGTGCGCCACAGCGTCCATACTGGAGGTGGGAGCCAAGTTCAATATAAGTGTAATTAAAAAACTGTGCATGGGCGTATATACC